TTTATAATTTGCACACAATGTGCATCCATGTAACTTATATTCTGTATATCTGATGATAACTAATCATTAGAGAAGACACTGGTCGTCTGACAGGATCTTGATCAATTTCGAAGATACTGTCATAATACATTTCAGTAGTATCAGGCATACAATCAATCCTGCTTATCAATCCCAATCATAATCTGTCAAAGATTTCATTCCTTAGGCTGTATTACTTGGTACATCAGATAACATCAGATACCTATTTGATTACAACAATGAGGGTCATTTTCACTTAACTGAAGATCCGTGTAATAAAAGTAGAATTCCTCAATGGCTCTGTTTGTCAATACCAGTTTGAAATATTTCATTTCCTCCTTTACAGTAGTTGTTATTTTGAAGAATTACAACCAGTTCCTGTTACATATCTGTCATGAACTAACATTAGTAAGCGAGATCATTAGAAACCATGGGGCACTGGGTAGCTATGTCGTCCTAACTTGCGACTCTTCATCGTTTAGTATTCATGACCCCGCTATTGATCGAATTCGGGATCTTCGGTTACAAGACCAAGATAGCTGATCATTCAGCCATTTTTGCTGGAATACAATTTACTGTGTATTCCAACTTTGCCAATTCGTGATGTAGCGTTGTGCTCACAAACGTCTGCGTTAAGCATCCACTTTGAACTTGACATTGTAGATCCCACTGATCACGTGTCCCCAAATAGGATGAAACAGCTGTCCAGTGCTTCCTAGTTTTTATCTTTCTCTGTAACTAATCTTGGTTCATGAGGAATATGTAACAGCTGAATTTAATCCAAAATCTCTACAAGACCTATATTTTGAAGGAACAAAATGGGATCCATAAAGGAATTGATGTTTAACAATTTCAGATGGAGTATTTTTAGTGAAGCTTAAAACAGAATCATTTATTTTTAGTAAGATTAACTAATCTTAACTATTATCACGGTGATTTTCCGCTAGAATTTTAAAATTCCTTATGGCGCGCAGATCGATATTTAATAATCGCACTTTTTAAATAACCCTTCCACACTAACTATCTCTTATTTTAAGTAGTTACCTAATTAACTGTTTTTTAGAATCTTCATATATAAAAGTAGCTTAAAACAGTGACCTGGTTATTGTTTTTTTTTGAATATTCCCATGAGTACATGAAAAATCATCAGCCCAACAGAGAATTTGCTCAACCACCCCAGTGCTTTGAAATCTGATAGCCGACTTTTCACCACTGGGTGCTAGTTTTTAAAATTGGTAGTGTAGATAATCCAGAAGATGGCACCAAACTTGAGACGATCAAGATCAAACAGTACAGACAGGAGGAAGTGAAACAGTTTTCAGTTTTCGAAGTAGCCAATAACAATCTGCAAAAGTGGTGGACGCGACTGAAGTTGCAAAGAAACCCACAGAAAGTGGTATCGAAGTTCGATGATCTATTTCAAAACTACAGACTCAGTAATTTTCATCGACTTGACTTGACAGGTTTTTCCTTCATTCACTCCAGTTTCTATGTGCTCATCTGTCTAGTTTTTTTTTGCTAAAAAGACCATATATTTGAAATTAGTTGCTCACCCAGTGCTTGTCACCTAGCAACATTTTAAAAATGCATTCCATAAAAACCTTATTTTAATGGTGGGTATACACCGCAGCTGGAAGTTAAACTCTTCTTTAAATTGAAGTAAAGTGAGAAACATTGTACCATAGTTGACGATGAAACAAAAACAAAAGTGGAAGGTAACATGGTGTTCTCCCAATGTTACCATCAGATGAACCAATGCATCTAGTGTTTAATATCTATCTCATTAACAAACTAAAATAAAATTACATTCTATTCCACTGTCCAAGTTATAAAAACACGCATAATGGCAAAATTACAAAACTGTGATTGACTGCTTTAAAAGCAGAGTTCTGCAGTTTTAAAAAAGAGCAATAAATCTTAGCATCAAATCATAGTTCAGCAGTTTCAGTTGAGCCATCAGTCTGATGAAATACGAGGGAATGAGCGATTTGGAAAGAGATTAATAAGTTTTGTGAATTTATGGTTTAACAGGATAATTTCAATTGTTTCCGCTCCTGATCTTGACATCCCCAGTTGTGCTGCCTGTAGACTAAATGGTGCTATATAGATACGTGAAAGAAGTAACCTCTTACAATCCTCTCTATTTAATAGGGAATAGAGAATGTCATTGCTGGTCGTTAGGCGTCTCCATCACCTCCATCTTCTCTATGTTCATTTGGAGTCCTATCTCAACTGCCAACCTCTTCTTACCTGTACATTTCCATGTGTGTGATACTTGACACAAATCATGCACAAAATTCAAGTCTTCTAGAGTCTTCTTATACGCCTAACGTATTCGTGTCTTCTCATTTCCAACCACACAGTCTTCCACATAATCCAGTCCACCCCAATCTGAAATATCATAGGTGATAGTAGGCACCCAACTTGTCTTACTCCTCTGTTCATTTCAAATGCTTCGCTGAGTTATCCGTTGTGGATCACTCGACATGTGCTGTTGTCATATAGCAGTCAGATTGGCTTGCTAAAGATTAGGCTGGGTACACCCTGTAGTGCTGAAGTAGTTTCCAAATTACTTCTCGGTCAACACTGTCTAAGGTTTCCTTAGAGTCGACGAAGTAGAGATTTGACTGCTACTCTTTGATCTGTTTGATGAAAATGATGATGCGTAGAGTTGCAATTCAACCTACCCGTATTTTAATTCTTCTTAATCCCGAAATTTGAAAAGGTCTGCATTGTAACATGAGGGTGGGTAGGACCAGATCTTCCGTCTGGTTGATCAAGTTCTCGAATTCGACTTTCGCGCTCAGTTCATTCACTTTTGACGTTGCGCGTCACAAAACTTAGGTCCATGTGATAAGATTTGCGTTTGAATTGGAGATAGTGGGACATCAGAATAATTGAACATGTATTTTTCCTGTGTAAGTAGGAAAGACGGTTTCTTTGGTAACGGACTTAAGGCTATGGTTTAGTTTCATTATAACATCATCTGTTCTTTTCTTTATAACTGTACTGGAGGTTTTAATAATTCTTATGATACAATGTGTATATTCCGTGATTTGAAGAGAAGCAAGAACCGTTCGACGGTAAAGGGACTGAACAAGTTTCTACGTTTGTCCACCAAACTTGCTGAGGCGAATGCAAAGATTATCTTGCCTTGAGAAACATGAATATCCCAAAGTATTTGAAAGCATCTCAGACGAAATCACATATTCCCTAACTCACATACAATGAAACGACACACTCTGAATTACATCGGTACAGTTCGATCGAGACTACCTGAAATAGAGCAGAATATCTCACAAAACTGAAAATGAAAGGACATCAGTCGAAAACTACTCCAATACGGTTATAAAGAAAAGAACAGATGATGTTATAATGAAACTAAACCAAAGCCTTAAGTCCGTTACCAAAGAAACCGTCTTTCCTAATTATACAGGAAAAATACATGTTCAATTATTCTGATGTTCCATTATCTCCAATTCAAACGCAAATCTTATCACATGGACCTAAGTTTTGTGACGCGCAACGTCAAAAGTGAATGAACTGAACACGAAAGTTCAATTCGAGAATTTGATTGACCAGACCAAAGATCTGGTTCCACCCAACCTCATGTTACAATTCAGACCTTTTCAAATTCACCGTTTTAAATTGCTGTCTCGATTACATCAACAATCCAGAAATTAATAATTCTATAAAAGTATTTCCTTAAATCTAAAGAAATTGTTGACAGCAGTTCATTCAATTAACTTAAAATTTCATTCTGGCTAATATTTTATTTTGATAAGTCACACAGTGTTACACAGTAATATTAACTGATGACCACGTTTCAAGCACAAACTCTTGCCACCCATAATCATACCAAATCACACACAACATTTTTCCTTCATTTTTTATACATGTGTGGAGTTGACTAGATAACTGAATAAAAAGCAGTATGGGATAACGTACATTCAGAAATAATAATATGAGTGTTATTCATCAATTACAATCAGATGGGAAATAAGACGAGTGTTTCTAAGTCATAACAAGTAACTTGTTAGAATGTTACATTGTACGTGAATTGAAATACAATTCAACATTATTTATTATCCTCTGATTTGACTGGTGGGAATAACATCTTCCGTATTTCTGGTATTTGCTTTCAGCCATTTCTGTTGCATGTATTGAGTGTAGACTCAATGAACCAGGCAGGATTCAGTAATCAATGTCTCTATCTCCACCTACCTATGTTACTTTTTATAATTGTAACTCTGTCCCACTTACCCTACTGTGTGGTTGTGTGTCAATCCATGTAGTGCAATCGCTGAGATTTTTTCTAAATTACTTATCTTCTCGGGGTCAAACATTCTTACCTTAGCTAAATTCTTATGTTCTGGCAATCTGATTACCCCCGATCTACTAGTTTGACCTATATAGTTGACCTAACTCACAGTCATTGCGAGGTATTTTGTAAACTATATTATTTTGATTAATTGGGTCAACAAGGTGCTTTAACCTACAGAGTTTGACTGCGATTGAGTTTGTAGGTTTGTTATATTTTATAAGGAGCGGACATCTGAAACCCTCATGTATATAAACGAAGCAAGAAAGTAGTTATGTGACTGCCTTGATATGATAATTAGTGGCAATAAATTAAGCTCGAAATGTGGTCATCAGTTAATATTACTGCGTAACACAGTATGACTTATCAAATTAAAATCTCACCCTTATGGAGTTATACTCTACCACATTGCCCAAGTTCTATACTTATATCAATAACCTAAGGCTTCTTCCGTTACTTCACTTAAAATATCTAATAAATCTTCCATTGGAAGTGCAAAATATTTTCCTACTTTGGTTTTTTTCTAAACAACCTATGTGATAAAGTTCTAGAGACAGCTGCAGCCACCCAGATTGTTTGATCAACTTTCATAAATATAATATATATATATATATCACGTTGCTTCATAATATTTTTATATTTTTGTATACTTTCTCTTCAGAACGTTACAGAAAGAGAGAGGAATCGATTTCGACGCTTTTCTGCACATGATAGTTCCCTTTATGCAAGAAATAGTAATACTAGTAATACTGCTAACAACAACAACAGCGACAAAACTGCCGACAATCTTGACAACAGAAAAGCATCGAATACAAGTAACAAGTTGAACTTGTTGAAAAACAAACGAAAAAGGCATACAGATAAAAATCAACAAAATGTAGAAATAAACATGTTAGACAATATGAATGAAAACTGTTCATCCCATCGTCGTCACTATAACAATAATAATAATAACAACAACAACAATGCACAAAATCAACAACAAAACTTAGAACAACAAATATCCAATGATACAGTAACATCGTCGAATATGACTGGTACAACAAGTCCTGAATATCACGAAACTGGTAGTGTTATCCCTACAGTAAATAATTCTATTCAAACACATAATTTACCCGAAAATCTATCACCAAATAATCCAAATGAATTAGTACGGGCTACAAGAGAGTTGAAGAAAAAACGTTTACGTTCGAAAGCAACAAAATTGGTTGTATTAGTGACAACTTTATGGGGTGTATGCTGGTTACCAACGCATATAATTAATTCTTGGTTCTTTTTTGATGAAGCTAGTTTTCCATTTATTCCAGCTATGAAAATAGCTAAATTAATATCACAAACATTATCATTTGCTGCATCTTGTGTAAATCCAATAGTGTATAGTATATTAACTGGTTCATTTAAAACAGCCTTATCAAATCGTTTCAGAAAGCGTAATCGACATGATCGTACAAAAACGGAATTATACTATATCTCAGAATAATTGCACCGAAGTCATTATTACATTTATGAACACTACTATTCAAATAAAACACCAAAAAAACACAGAAAGAAACGTATATTTCTTCGTATTACAGAGTAAAAACAGACAGAAACAGAGAATCGAACCGTAGGAAATCTTAAAATACGATATAGCATCACTTGCTGAATGAAATTGTTGAATTTATACAAACATTTATTAAGACAAAATTTACATGGTCTACTCACCTTTCATTCATTCTATCTATCTATCTCTCTCGCTCGCTCTCCCATCCATCAATATGTACTTATCCGGGAGTTTTGAATGAGATTGCCATTCTCCTGCTTCTTCTTCGTGTTCATATATCGATACAAAATCAGCCCAATTAAACTACTTTGTGAATAAGATAAGAAAAAATTGGTCGAGAAAAAAAAAGCGGAGAAATTCAAACAATTGGGAAATGCTTCAACAAAATTTTTGAAAAAAAAAAGAAAGATACTCTTTCTTCTCAATAAATATATATATACTCTCTACCATGTATGTATTATGTTATCCTTAAGATAATTAATTAAATATCTAAGCTGTGCTTATTAGTGTTCCTCTTCAATCATGCTGCATGTGTTTTTTCTCCTTTTTTCCTCTTTCTTGAAGGTTTTTTTTTCAGTGGACAAGTAAATTGTGTAGCAAGAGCAGAGAAAAGTTTAAAAACAATCATGCTCTCATTTGTAATTAGAAAAAAATACATATATACATAAGTGTGTTTAAAGTTTGTGTTGTGTTTCAGTGTTAGTTAGCGGCGATCAGTAATTGGGATAAATATTCACACTATTGATAATTGTAGGAGGTGATTTAAGCAAGGAAATACACTTATTTTCGGTAAATTCTTATCAGGATTTACAATTTTTTTCCTTTACGCTCCCCAGTGGAATATAGGGCTCCAAGCTATTGCCCTGAAGTTTCTGTAGTAGTGTTTATTTTACAGGATGGGGTCGCTAGCTTCATGCCCAACCTTTCCTCTTTACCAACATTATTTCTGGCTTAGAGAGGTATGAGAGTGCGTCTGTGGCCGGGGATTGAACCCCGGACTATGCGCATGGTCGGCGAGCGTCGCAACCGCTGTGCCAACGACCCCATCATGATTTACAATTACATAATAAAATATTAAAACAAGCAGTTCCTTTTATGAATTTAGATAAAGCAATAAGGAGACGTAATTTGTCTGAATCGTGTGTAATGTATATGCGAAATACATTTCGAAAAATCTGATCACACATGGACTTGTCATAGGAATATATATGAAATTTAGAGCATATTCTTAAATGGCTCCAGAAACAAATGGAATCTTCAGAACTCATTAATGGCGAGAACAGGAGACCTAGGTTCTCTATTGTGAAACATATTATAGAGACAGCTGACAATTAGAAATTTTAAACCACCTTCATGCGTTCAAAAACAGTTCGTCATCACAATAAACCTTCTTTCGTAAATTTTCTTTTGATACCATAGCAGATGTACTATTACCTCTATTATTTAGTTTAGTGGTCTTCACTGTTATTTTGACGTTGAATATGTCCTTTTAACTTGACCTAAGTCTATTTTCTCACCCCTTAACGCTTTATTCATTTCATATTTGACAAGTCTGTGAATGAATTAGTGTTATTAACAACAATAATGCTGTCTAAATAACATCGAAGCGCTAATAATAATAGTAATAATAATATCAGAGGATTACAGTTCAATAGCATCAACATAACACTACACACTGAATATCAGACAACCAAATTAGGAAAGATGATAATACAAATTCATGAATGTATAATCTCCAGTGAAGGATGGCCAAGACAGTAGAATCGACTTGCTAGACTTGCTTCTTCTGCACACAGAACATCAGTTTGTTTAAGGTGAATCATGATAGTCTCAGCTGTTTGGAGCATGCAGTAACTGGAAGTTTTTGGAAATTTATTTGGTAGCCGGTAGATTCTTCAATGAGCTGGCTTTGTGGCCGGCTGGTTTGAACCAGGTGGTCTTATGTCGAAACGCTGATGGTTTTTACTACACCTTCACTTAGTCATACTTGGAGATATTTCTGAGCGTGAAAAATCAAGTTCGTAGAGGCAATATAATTAGCTCTACTAATGGAATGTAGACAGAATAATATCTATAATAACACTAATAAGTGAAACTAAGGCTAAACTTTGCTACTATGACACAGCGTTAGATTGACAGTAAAGTTAGCTATACAAATGAAAATTAAATAGTAAGATAATATATACAGTTATCTGGTTCTACCAAGGGAGATTACTGTTCTATATTGGCGGTGAAGGCCATGACAATTATTATTATTATTATTGTATCCTTTAGTTCCTAGAGGAACATAGGGCTTCAGCTGCGCACCTCCATTGCCTTCGGTTTTCTGACAACTTTTTCACCCTGCTCCAGGTCTGTCCACATGCTTTCATCTCCTCCTCGCATGACCTCCTCCAAGTCACCCTTGCACTGACGACCAACTCGCCGCCTCCCTTTCGGGTTCCAGTTTATGGGAAATCAGACATATATCATCGGCGAAATCCAGATCCTCCAAGTCTTTTGTGTCAGTCCATTTTATGCCTGTTCCCTCGTTGGTTGCCGTTGTCTGTCGCATTATCCAATCAATTGCAATCAGGAAGATCATTGGTGATAGTAGACAGCCTTGCCTCACTCCCGTCCTCACTTCGAAGGCTTCCGTAAGTTTCCCGTTGTGGATTACTTGGCATGCAGCATTGTCGTATAACTGTTGGATGAGGTGTATAATTGTCGATGGGACCCCGTAGTAGCGAAGTAGTTTCCAAATGACCTCTCGATCGACGCTGTCGAAGGCCTTTTCAAAGTCGATGAAGTTGAGATAGAGAGGTGACTGCCATTCCAAGCTTTGTTCAATGATGATCCGTAGAGTGGCGATTTGATCAATACATGATTTGTTTCTCCTGAATCCAGCCTGTTCCGGACGAAGTTTTTCATCTAGGGCTTGTTTGATTCTCTCCAGGATGATGCGACTTAGTATCTTGCTTGGAATGGACAGAAGCATAATTCCACGCCAGTTTTTACATTGACTTAAGTCTCCTTTCTTTGGAAGTTTGAATAAGTAACCGTTCTTCCAATCCTCGGGTACTTTGCCCTCTTTCCACACCTTCTCCAGTAGTGGTGTCATCAAGTCCGCTGTTGTCTCTGGGTCTATTTTCAAAGCCTCTGCTGGGATTCCATCTGGTCCCGGTGTTTTCCCAGTTTTAAGCATCTTGATTGCATTCAGGACTTCTGATTTCGTCGGGGGGTCAGTGTTCACTGGTAGTTCTGCTTCCGTTGTTGGTATTGCTGGACGTGTTGTAGGTGGCGGACGATTTAGAAGTCTTTTGAAGTGTTCAACCCAGTGCTTTCTCTGTTCCACCTCTTTGGTGATTGACTTTCCATTGTCGTCCTTTATTGGCTTAATCTGTGTCGAACGTTTGCCCGAAAGGTTCCTAGTTGTTTGGTAGAGTGTGGCGAGGTCTCCTTTGCCTGCAGCTTGTTCTGCTTCGTTTGCCATGGTTTCATAATATTTTCTTTTGTCTTCCCTGGCACTTTTCTTCACTCTTTTGTTCAGTGTATTGTAGCTTGCATTCAGCTCCTGTTTTTGTTGCTCGTCAGTGCACTGGATAATCTTTTGCTTCACTGTCCTTCTCTCTTCTATTAGTTTCCAAGTGTCCGTAGTGAGCCACTGTTTGTCCTGTCTCTTTTTTCTGCCTAGAATTTCTATGCAGGTTTGGCTCCACACCGTTTTCAAGTTGTTCCAGTGCTTTTCAACGCCGACCTCTTCGCTAGTGTTGATTTGTGTCTCGGCTTTGTCCTTTATGCTTGCAATGAAGATGTCCTTTGTAGCCTGGTCCTTCAGCTTTTGAGTGTTGAACTTGGCTTGTGGTCTATCTGCAGCTCCTGATTCCCTGAAAGCTTTTAATTTGATTTGGATTGTCCCTTGTACGAGATAGTGGTCTGAGCCAACGTCTGCTCCTCTTCTTGCTTTTGTGTCCAGTAGGCTGCGCCTCCACTTCCTTGAGATTGAGATGAAGTCGATTTGGTTTTTGGTTTGCCCGTCTGGTGACACCCATGTAGCCTTGTGGATATCTTTGTGCTTGTATACACTGCCACCAATCACCAGTTCGTTGAAGGCGCAGAAGTCGGCGAAGAGTTCTCCGTTTTCATTCATTTCTCCTAGAGCTTCTCTACCCATGATGAGTTCCCTTCCCGTATTGTCTGGTCCCAGTTTGGCGTTCATGTCTCCCATTAGTATTTTCATGTCGCCAGCTGGAGTATTGTCCATTGTTGCCTGTAGTTGCCTGTAGAATTCTTCTTTCTTCTCGAGGTCTGCGTTGTTTGTGGGTGCATAACATTGTATGATTGACACTTTCCTTCCTTTGGAGTTGAACCTGGCGGTCATTATCCTGGACGAAATCGCCTCCCATTGTATCAGGGCTTTCGTTGCCGTTGGTGACATCATGATAGCCACGCCCTCGGTGTGCGTGTGGTTATCTTCTGGGTGACCGGAGTAGATCACTGACTCACCTGTTGACAATTTGGTGAGTCCACTCCCATTCCATCTGCTCTCACATATTCCCAGCACTTGTATTCCGTATCTTTTCATCTCGTTGGCGATCTGGGCAGCTTTCCCAGTCTCGTACATAGTTCGGACGTTCCATGTTCCTACACAGACTTTTTCTTTTGGTGCAAGAGGTTCATTCTGCTGAAGGTTCTGTAGCAATTTTGTTTACAGGGTGGGGTTGCTAGCCTCACGCCTGAGAAAAGAATGATTACATTAAGTTAAAGTTTAGAGAGAAGCAACTTTTTGGGTTGCTCCCCTCAATAGGCCATGACAATAAACAAGATGAAATGGGTTACTTTTGCATACCAACGAAATCCCATCAGTACTCTGGGGTTCGATCCCCGAACGTTTCATTCCTAAGCTTCGCTTAACTTGTAATCAGCTAAATAAAGGAGGAAGGTTGGGTGTAAGGCTAGCAACCCCAACTCGTTAAAACTAAACACCACTGCTGATGATGAGACTTCAAACCTCAACCTTGAATCCCTGTGTCTCATTCGAAACGCAAAGGAATACAGTAATCAATAAATAACTTACTGCAAAGCATGCTGCTCACACGCAGCTCCAATAAGATAGGATACTAAATTAGTAACAGAATCAAATATAAACTGTAATTCTATCTCAAACTACTACTTTTCTCTGAAGCCTTACCAATATCTACATATCAACGATATTGATGTGTTAAGGTATCGAAAATATATCGACGATTACACAAATGAAAAGTCGTTTCATTTCGTAGTTTCCGACATTATTTTCATAACCTTAGGATTTGTTGCTATTAAAAAGCTGTTAAGTTGGCGGGAGAAGCAGCAAAGACACGATTTCAAGTGAATATAGAGAAGACAGAGGTGATAATGAGATACCTAATCAACAACACTAAGCAGTAATCTCTATCAATGGAAGAAATTCGGACGAAGTCACTTCTCCCAGTTATCTACAATTAGATGGTTCGGATGAGGAGGTCAAAGCCAACCGGAATCGAAAAAGCAAAACAGAACTTCAGTAATCTGAAATCACTGTGGGAATCTACTCTACTTAGAATATAAAGGATTTGGATTTCCAAAACCAATGTTAACTCAGTTCTTCTTGGCGTGTCACTTAAATCATTAACGACAGATGGTGGACTTTATCAACAGCTGTCTTCACTAGCTCCATACTGC